ATTAGCATCCCGTTTACCTAATAAATTAGTGATCACCATAGCTATACAGGTTAGATTGCAATTCATTATTTTTACACACAAACATCGGCTCTGCAAGTAAAGTAGACACACACACACCTGACTTACGTAAGTTCAAGTAACAAGCCCGGCATATACAACTTGAAGGCAACAAACTCATCACAGTATAAGTAAATTTCAGCACAAGACGTCTCAACTAATTTGTCATTATGGTACTAACTTAATAGTGTAAAGAGAAGAGAAAGCGTGGGTCCATGGCCCTTTTGTAAGAGAGAAACTGCAGCAGGAGTTCAACTATCTTTACAATATACATTCATATCATCACAATCAACATGAATCTTTGCAATAGCAAAAAATCATCGATACATTAATATCGTCGCAATCATAAATCTTTGCAATAGCAAAAAATCATCAATGCATTAATAGTGTCATGATCACCATGAATCTTTGCAATAGCAAAAAATCATCAATGAATTCATATTATCGCTATCATCATGAACTGTCACGACCATGCTTTTCTTGACCCGTAAACTGGCCTGATGCACGAAAAGGCTGGCATGCGGTTTGTCGAGGTAAACATTACATTCAAATCAAACTCAAAACAAAAATGAGCTTTTTACATGATTCCATAAATATCTCTGTCAATTACGTTTCACAAAAACCGTCTTTTGTAAAGTGACGTGCAAATGAGTCGATATGAAGCATTGTCGTGTATGTATCAGAACGGGCTATCGCGCATGTGCGCAGATACCGCTTGCCACTTCCTTCCTTGTCTTTCCCTTCCCCTCGCTGCCCACGCAGCTATACAAGCGTCATGAATAAGCGACCAGTTGGTCATTCCTTGTTAAGCAACGTGTCACCTCGGTTCGTTACATCGAACGCGTTACATGGTGTCAGAAGTGGGATTGTCTCGGCGGCAGAATGGATGTCGTCAAGCCCCCACCACCGCTGCAGCTTTCCGGAAACCTGAGAAGAAACTGGCTGCAGTTTAAACAAAAGTTGGAGCTCTACCTCACAGCCACGTCATCAGAAAAGCCAAGGACAGAAGCTGTGAAAGCGGCCATACTCCTCAGCGCCGCAGGTGACGATGCCCTGGACGTGTACAACAACTTCGCGTTTTCCGAAGGTGAGAACAAAGAAGATTATCAAACTTTGGTCAAAAAGTTTGAAGAGTACTGCGTCCAGCAAGGCAATGAAGTTTATGAACGGCATGTGTTCCGCCTTCGAGTACAAGAGGACGCAGAACCGTTTGAAAGATTTTTGAGGGACATCAAGAAGCAAGCGAAACTCTGGAACTTTGGGGACCTTGAACAATCCATGATAAGGGACCAAGTAGTATTTGGGATCAGCGATAAAAAACTCAGACAGAGAATGCTAAGCAAGAAGGACCTTACTTTGCAGAAAGCTGATCAAATGTGCAAAGCAGCTGAAGTATCTGCGCAGCAAAATGCAGAGTGGTCGAAGGAAACCTGGCAAGTGGAGTACACGAGAAGAACACAACAAGCCAGCAAAAACCAGTCTCCATGTTGTCAGTGCAGAAGATTCCATGCTCCAGAAGAATGTCCAGCTCGGGGAAAGTTTTGCTACGTGTGCAAGAAAAAGAATCATTTTGCGACGTGTTGCAGAAAGCAGTCAGGTTGACCAAGTGGATGATGCACAAGAGGCGGATGATAATTTCGATATCTTGAACATCAGCGTGTGCGGCGTGGCGGATGGTGTGGGAGCAGATTGGACAGTGCGCGGCAAGATAGGCGGCCAAGAACTGAAATTTAAAGTAGATACTGGCTCACAAGCCAACCTACTACCTCTGTCCTTGTTCCGGCGTGTCAACCGAGCAACGGAGCCAAGAAAAAGCACGGCAGTTCTTACTGCATATAACGGAAGCATTATCAAGCACGTGGGAGTATCAACAGAAGTCCTGAATTTAAGCGGCCAAGAACGTCGCGTTGCATTTTTTATTGTGAAGAAAGGTCGCAATGCCATCATTGGTCTCAAGGCATGTCAGGAATTCGGACTGATTCCAACAGTGAATGCGGTAGACTCAAGAGAAGACGCTCCCCAGCTGGCTTTTCCACACCTATTTCGCGGAACTGGCTGTGTAAAGCGACAGTACAAGATGGTACTGCGACCGGATGCCATTCCGGTAGTGCAGCCTGCCCGGAGGATACCGTTGGCGATCAAGGAGCAGCTTCGTGAGGAGCTGAGCCGCATGGAAAGGGCCTCTATCATCGTGAAAGTGGACGAGCCTACTGATTGGGTAAGCCCTTTAGTTGTAGTAAGGAAAAAGGATGGCCGTCTTCGCTTATGTATGGACCCAAGGGTCATAAACAAAAGCATAAAGCGCAAACATTATCCTATGCCATCTCGGGAGGACATTGAAAGTGAAATCTCGGGCGCAAGGTACTTTTCTCGGCTAGACGCAAACGCAGGCTTCCATCAGATACCGTTGGACGAGGCTACGTCACGCGTGTGCCCCTTCGCAACGCCCTTTGGTTGCCACAGGTTCTTGCAGATGCCATTTGGAATTTCTTCAGCAAGTGAGGTCTTCCAGAAGACTTGAACAGAAATTTTTGAAGGCCTGACAGGCGTGCGTGTATACATTGATGATATACTAATCTGGGGGGACTCGACAGAGCAGCATAATGAACGGCTGAAAGCCGTACTATAGCGAGCGGAGCAAGCTGGGATGACGTTTCACGCCCAAAATATGTATGTTTTGTGTGACACAGATAGCATTTCTTGGTGACGTGATCAGCGAGAGCGGTGTCCGTCCCAGTCCAGACTTAATCGAGAGCATACAGGCTATACCGCAACTGAAAGATAAACAGGCAGTTCGCAGAATGTTGGGCATTGTGAATTATTTCCGCAAGTATGTACCCTCGCTCAGTGACAAGACGTCACTACTTCGGGGCCTTTTGAAGGAAAGCGTGGTGTTCGAATGGACGTCAGCACACGCGCACGAGTGGGCTCAGATCTGCAACGCATTGATGAACCCACCGATACTAGCGCTCTTTGATTAAGAAAAAGAAGTGAAGGTAACTGCAGACGCCTGCCTCTAAAAGCGGGATTTGTGCCGCCTTGCTGCAAAAACACGGAAACGACTGGCGCCCAGTCACGTACGCATCGCGGGTTCTGAGCGAGAGTGAAACACGCTATGCTCAAATTGAAAAGGAAGCGCTGGCTATAGTATTTGCGTGCGAAAAGTTTCACCCGTTTGTCTATGGCCGCAGGATTCTTGTCGAAACTGATCACAGGCCTCTGATTGCCATCGCCCAAAAAAGTGTTGCAGACATGCCACCAAGACTGCAACGATTTTTCATCCGTCTTTTCAAATACGACCATGTCTTGCAGTTCATCCCTGGGAAAGACCTGGTGCTCGCAGACATGCTGTCCCGTACTGCCACGCTGCCTGGGGCCGCTGATGAAGCGGAAGACATGGAGGTCCACGCAATTCAGGTGGTTTCAAGCCTGGTAAGCAGACGAACAAAGCAACGACTTCAAGAAGAGACCCGTGCCGACCCGTATTTAAGCAGCGTGTTAGAGCAACTAAAAGCAGGTGCGACGATTCAAGGGGAACTAAAGCCTTTCACATCGGAGTTATCGGCAGCGGACGGCGTACTGCTAAAAGGGAGCAAGATCGTCGTGCCGAAAAGTATGAGATCAGAAATTCTGGGGCGGATACACGAGGGCCACATGGGACAGAACAAATGCAAGGCCAGGGCATGTAGGCTAGTTTTTTGGCCAGGACTAAGCAGTGACATTGAGAACCTAGTACGAACATGCCAGGTGTGTCAAAAATATGCCTAAAGCCAGCTGAGCAAGCCCCTTCTACAACGGCCTACATCGAAATGACCGTGGTATCGGGTCGGAATTGACTTGTTTCAGTTTGCAGGGGACTCCTACGTCGTGGTGTATGACAACCAGTCGAACTTCCCAGATGTTGAAAGACTGGTGAGCACAACAGCAACGGAAACTATTTCCAAGATATCCGCCATATTCTCTCGCTATGGCATTCCTGCGCGAGTCTGCACCGACAATGGGCCCCAATTTTCTTCGAGTGAATTTGCTGCATTCACAAAGCGGTTCGGCTTCGAACATATAACATCTAGCCCGAATTTCCCCCGCTCAAACGGCTTAGCCGAAAAGGGCGTACAGATTGTGAAACGAATTCTCAAGAAAACTACGGAGGGCCATGAGAATTTCTGGCTGGGCATTTTGGCTTATCGATCTTCCCCCTTAGAAGACGGACGGTCGCCAGGAGAGTTTCTGCAAGGTCGTCGTCTTCGGTCAATGGTCCCCGAGTTTAACGCCGATGGAGAGTGCCCTGTATCGAAACATCGGCAATCACTACAAGGTAAGCCATTATCGCCCCTTGATGCAGGCAACGTTGTTCAGATCAAGAGTGAGAACTGGTCCCGCAAAGCAACGGTACTTAAGGAGGTGGCGCCACGTTCATATCTGGTCAAAACAGAAAGTCAAGGGCAGCTGAGGCGAAATCGACAACATCTGCTGCCAACACACGAACGCTGCGAAAACGAGAACGGCTACGAGAGCGGTCTGGAAGACTTCGAGCCGCCCAATAGCGTAGGACCACCCGCCAAAGGCTCGAACCGGCACATGACACGTGTGACGCAGCAGTGGCTGACCGCTGTTCAAACCCGCAAAGCACCTAGGGTTTCTGAAGAAACCGAAGCAAACAGAATCAACGAGAGGCTCATCCGAATCGCCAACACTTCGCAGGCCAACGAGATCCCGGACCGAGCCAAAGCGCCTGCGCTACGAAGAAGACTTGCGTCAGACGTGCTAGTTCACTTGTTTCTTTTGTTTGCTTGGTATTACGATTCCAAATTGGACGAAGAAAAGATGTATCAGAACGGGCTATCGCGCATGTGCGCGGATACCGCTTGCCACTTCCTTGTCTCTCCCTTCCCCTCGCTGCCCACGCAGCTATATAAGCGTCATGAATAACGACCAGTTGGTCATTCCTTGTTCAGCAACGTGTCGCCTCGGTTCGTTACATCGAATGCGTTACAGTGTAGTCAAAAACAAATGAAAATTTTTTTAGTATAATACTATATGTAGTTCTCTTCTGCAGGCAACCTTTACTGAAGATATTATACGACATAACTGCACTGGTCGAAGCTACTGAGCTGCCAGATGACATTAGGTGAAGTAGAAGTTTTTAAAATAACGAACGGTTGTGCACGACAAGCTATCACAACCATCTCGTCTCCAAACTCAAACACACTGTCACTCAGAAATGCAGCTAGAATGACACTTCAAAGCAATCACACATCATACATGACATTCAGGGTGTAGCCCCAAAGAGTTTCTCTCCTTAGCTGGAGGAATGTGGCTCTTGACATCCATGCAGGTTTCTTAAGCACATGTGCCACAATCATGAAAATGATGAAAAGTGACAAGCACTGTCATAACTTGGCTGACGGCTCAGCGAATGATATGGCACTTTGTCTACTGAACTGGCCTTATTTCTCGACAAGAAAACCGCAGCCGCGAATCACTAAGATGTTCTATAGCACAAACTCTGCATAATATACCCTGAAACACTGCTCGAAGGTTAATGCGCTCACATTTCTTTCATGTTTGAAAACCGTCTCAGACTTGCAAGCTTATAGGTTTTATCGTCTGTTGCTGTTAACTCGTTCAGTGGAACTGCTTAAGCAGGCAGGACTACCACCGTTGCTATAAGACTGCTTTGAGAAGGGCTGTAAAATTGAGAGATGCGTAAAATTATGCACAAATTTATGTGAATGCAGTGACATGAGCTAGCTACGAGAAAACAAAATAATTCGAATGAACAAACTAAAACAAATGTTGTAAAACCAGACAGCTCAAAGTGGCTACAAGAAAGCACGCGAGCCAACAAATGCCAATCCAATGCCTGAACTCCTCATCACTTCCACGACATGTTAAACAACTCAAATGCCAGCTTTTCCTCTCTTGCTCAGCTCTCCATGAAACTTGTGGCAAACCAAGGCCTCCAAGATTACTAACTCGCGCGCACGAAAGTCAGTGGCACAGTCTAAGGGTCTTGGAGGCCACGGCGAGACCCCGTGTGCTTTGCCCTGTAAGTAGGGAAAATGCGGTGGTCCATACAGCGAGGAATGTCGTGAGCGGACGACACTGCTGTCGAGCCTACTCCTGCCCGAAGAGGTTGGGCAGGTCGACGCAGGCCACGGCATCCTCTTCGATGGCCATCCTCTGTGGCCGGAACATCGGAGGCAGGTTCATGATCTGGATGGCTGCCTTGAACTGCTGGCCAATGTTTTTCTACGGCGGGGCGAGGGAGGGAGAAAACGCCTTCAGGAACATCACTTGACTACGACAGTTGAGCCCCTTGACAAGAGACATTCATAGGAGAGCAGCCTTTGTCTTTTATATGAAGTGTCTCTTACAAGCAGAGCTTCACGTGTGCGTTTTCTTATCAACCCTAACGACAGTGCAGGCACACTGGTCTCTCTTATACCCATACATCAGTGCCTCTTATAAAAATGTTCAACTGTACCCTGTTTAAGTGTATCTGTCTTCATTGGAAAAAAAAAATGATTTAGGGGTACTGACACCAAATTTTGAAGCTGATTAAACTCCTACATACAAATTTGCTACCTACAGAGATGGCTCTGAGCGAGCTTGAAGCAAGACAAATGCTGATAAGATATCTTTTGTTTTGATATTAAAATTGATCTTCGCAGTGTGCCACCACGTGACATCGGCACTAGCGACGCGTCGGGCCTCATTGTCGACTCTGATGGTTTCCCGCACCAGCATGGCTAGTAGTGATGACGTCAAGCACTATTACACACAAAACCGTTGCTTGCTTATTACCAATGGAGGTACGCAGCAAAGCGGCCACAGATACGTCCCGACGCCTTGTACGAGCACATGACGAGAAGCTCATTCTGAGTCACAACATCAGGGTACAGTAGCTAGCTATGAAAAACCTGTTGTGATTAATCTTAATTTTTTTATATCTGGGGCTTAACGTCCCAAAACCATGGCACGATCATGAGAGACGCCATAGTGGAGGGCTCCGGAGAAAATGTAGTAGAGCACCAAGTCGGGTTAGTTGGCAGAAAATCATCTTGAAATGGTTCTAACTGCTCTAGAAACGTGACGAACTGGTATGGAGAAGACAGCAGATGTTTTCTCGTCTTCTGTTGTCTGTGTTTCTAGAAAAGCTATAAAAGCCATTTGAAGACGAGCAAGAAGTTGCACATGATCCAGAAGTGTGGCAAGTCATATACGAATCTTCAAGAAACATACAAAAATGAAACGATAAAAAAAGGAGAATTGTTAAGCGGTATTGAGTGCTCGCATTGTTTTGAACCAGTATTCACCATGTGTGGTCACTAGCGGCCTTGGCAATTTTACCTATAAAATGAGAGGTTTCCTCCACTGCTTAGGTGGAACACTAGGGAAATATTTGAAGCGCCAGCCAAGAGGCTCCAACATTTCTCTACAACCCCAAAGAAACTCAGCTACTCTTCGAGTAAACCTGTGACAATCACGTCTCCTGAATACTACAGCACCGCGCAGAGCATCCATCTTTAAAAACAATCTCGCATTCCTTTCCTATGCCTGACCAATCCTTCTTTCATGCGCAGTGACGCAAATTTGCCGATCAGCGACTTGACGTAGCACACAGCTAATCGCATGCCTTCCCCTCCTTGTGAGGGAGAAGGGTGACGAGGCTGCGTGAAAATTTGAAAACAGCTGGAACCGTTATGCTAATCCCCGTAACTTTTTAATATAGTGCGCACAGTACAACCTCGTAAATAAGTTCTTGAAAAAAAAAAAAAGGGAACAAAATAAACGTACAACTTAAAACGTTAGATCCGATTCGGGTTATTTTTACTTTTTGCGATGGCAAGTGCAGAAGCCAAGGAAATCATATTAAACGGTAACGCATCAATGAAGTTCTCCTGTATTCGTAAAATTATAGCGGCAACATGTGCACAAAGCAAAAGTGCACATATTTCTCCTTACAACGATTTTTGGTCCTCAGAGCTTGTTTACTGGCCCCCTTAATGACATGCCATAACAACGAATGAAACTGTTCACACAAATGACAACTGACGAGTGCATATGCTGTTATGCAGCATCAATAAAAAAAAATGTGCCAACTCACCCCAATGATGGGAGAGATTAGCCTTTTGAAAATCTCCTTCTTCTTCTTCTCCGGCAGGCCTTTCCCGTCAGCCGGGGGATGAAGCTGCGTCTCAAAGGCCTGCGTATCAATTTTTCGAAAATTTGCCGGTTGTAAACCAGTACTGGCGCTAAGCATAGTCGTTGGCTACAAGTGGCTCAACTTGTCTACGGCTTTTGATTACTGGAAGCTTTACCAGTAATTGTGACCTATACTGCAGTATAATAACCGTTGTCTAATAGTCAGGGGTATCGGTGAAAAATCTCCTAAAATAAATGCACTCATACCTCATTGTAACAATGTTTCATACTACACGAAAATAGGTTCGTTATAGTATCTGAAAATTCGTTATAAAGGTATACACTCACCTCGATATAATGAACCCAGATATAACGAAATATTGGTTGTACTGACTACCTGAACAATATGCTTGCAATAGATACAGTGTTAGGAATAAACATTTATAACAAATTTTCGGTTATAAGGACTTTAATTTTGAGTAAGATGTAACTCTGTCATAATGATGTTTGAGTATTTCTACCACAATATATATTCCAAGACGATTTTTTACTGTCTTATAATGGATACTTCGTTATATCAGGGTTTGTTATATTAAGCTTTGAGTGAAGTGGCGTGTGTATAAAGTAAGCCAAAGTGTTTTTGTTTCTATTTATGAGCACGAAAATCAGCAGCCTGACAATGTAAGTGAAGCGCTTCGTGTGATCTCCGCTGCAAGTACATTCGCCCGGTCTGGTGTCGTCTCACCTCCAGGGCCTCCGGAGTGCATCCGGGTATCTGCAGTAGGGTGTTGCACAGTCCCGGGAAGAGGGGCCGCGCCGCCTGGTACAGGGCCAGCCCGAGGGACACCAGCCGGGTCTGGTTGATGTCGTGCTCGCCCAACACCTGCAGCCCCAGGAGCACGCACCGCAGCAGGTACGCTGCGCCGCCTTCGTCGCGCACGAAACCCTGCTCGAACATCTGAGGGAAGAAGGGCACACGAAGCTTTCCAATGATGCGCAGACGAGATTGAGGTTCACATCGGTCGAGTGAGCCCCTGTTTCAGAAAAAAATCAAGGCAGTTTCGTACTAGTGGTGTACGGAGGAAGTGCTGAATTAGGCAGCCTTCTTTGTTTTTATTTATTTTTTTCTGTTTCTCTCTGTCTCTTTCTACCTCTTTTTTAGTTTCTTTAATTTCTTCTTCTGGTATTCTCTTTCTTTATCTTCGTCATTTTTGATGTCATTCCCTATTTCTTGCTCTTTCTATTCCTTTTTCTCTCTCTATTTCTTCCTCCTTCCTTGAGTCTTTTTTTTTCGTTCTCTTTTTTTTCTTGCTCTGTGAATTTTCTAGCTCCTTTCTCGTGTCAATTTTTTAGCTTTTTTTTTTCTTTTCCTGTCTTTCTTCCCTTTTTTTCTCTCCTTTCCATTCTATCTCTTTGTGTCACTCCTGTCTTCATTCTTTCATACATAACAGAGTTATCGCATCCCACACCGGACAATTCGGTGCACGTGTTCTGGGAGGAAGGCACGAGATGACGAGAAAAAAGAGGGCAAGGCGAGCGTGAGCTGATTCACAATGACCATAATTTCTGCATGCAATTGACATGGTTTCCTCGAGCTTAAGCTACTGTGGTGCTAAAAACTACGACGTTGATCAGAGACCGTTAATTAGTCAAGCCAAGAGAGCGTCGCATATCGCAAGCACTTAGATTCCACTTTGAGTGCCAGTCAAACTTTGATCACACTGATTTAAAATGAAACACAATTTTCAAATGGCTTGTTTTTCTCATTTCCCTGCTCATTCAGCACGCACCATGTGACCTAAATGTCTACACTAAATGTGCATGCGATAAACTTTCACTTGTGAGCCAGTGCTCAAGTAGTCCGATTTTTCGCCCTCGTCTGCGCCATGCTGCATATTCAACTAAATATATTGATGTGCCAACGCGCTCAACCTCCACATTACGCATGCAACATCCAACAAGTTCCGCTGCGAAGCATTTTTTTTTTTTGCCTCACAGAGCAGTGCATTACCGTATTTACTCGCGTAATCCTCGCACTCACATAATTCTCGCACCCCCCACATCGCCCAAGAAAAAATACGATTTTTTTTTTCCTCGAGTAATTATCGCACCCCCGAAAACTGCCGCAATAATGTCTGCTTGTTCCAGCCATTAATGATGATAGCGTGCACCATCTAGCGCCATCTCTTAAGTATCAAGCTTACTATTGCACGGAGATTCAATCCAAGCCAAGCCAAAGTGGCCAGTGCGCGTTGCGGCGTGTTTTGTATGTTGTGTGGTTATCTTGAAACGTTATGGGGCGATACTGAAGTCACACGGCTGCTTCAAGTTGCAAGTGAGAGATCATACGCTAAACAACGGCAACAGGGACGCCGGTAGGCCCTTCGGAGCCTACGAGTTTTGTGTTCGCTACTGGTGACGGCAGCTGAAAGCCACCAAGACGCGTTAGGCCTGCCGTGTGCCTAAAACTGGGATTGATGGTAAACTTTATTTCCTCAGAAGGAAACTGCGGACGACTCTGTTAAATAGCCATCAGCCCAATACTGACGTCTTACGCTTACCTTTTGAGGGCTCCTGTTGAGCGCCGACCGCTACCGCTACGCCCGCAACGCCCACAAGCTTCGCGTATGGTATTCCGATTCTCGACTATTTGCTTGCACTTTTTGTGTCTCAAATAAATCTTGCCTTGTGTTGAACCTGTGCTATTATTGTTGAGGTAAGTTCTAATTAGTACTTCTTAAAGCTTGCTGTAAGTTGCTGGTGTGAGAATCCCGATTTGCGGACACTTCGTTTTCCTTTTCACTCTGCGTTTTCGTGGAAAGTTTTCCCCGCGTAATTCTCGCACCCCCCAACTTTGCATCGATTGTTTGGCAAAAAAAGTGCGAGGATTATGCGAGTAAATACGGTAATACATCAACATTTATGACACGAGAAAAGACCAACAAACAAACCTTCACATGCTCTAAATAAGTGAAAACTTGGTAGAGTTGCGACCTCTGCTACAAAAAAAAACAAAAGGCTCACTAAGGAAAAACAATGACTTGGTTCAGACTGACAAACTACACTCTGAGAACTGTAAATGCCACATGTCTCACTATCATAAGTTCATTATTTGTGGAGAAAATTAAGGTTAAAGTTCAAATTTCACTCGTGAGTCTCCGCACGCGACGTAGCAAACTTCCAAATGTACTTTTCGTATTTTTGCGACATTGGCTGGAATGAAATTTTCTGAAACATTCTATGTTAGGTCTATGGCACCCACTGATGACAATGTACTTCATTTTTATTAATTAGAAGCTATGAAAGACCCAGTAGACGCCTTTAAAATCTATAACGTCACAGTGTTTGGTGTGGGAACCTCAAGGTGGCGTCTTCACCTTGCATTTTCTTTTCGTGCATTTTCTTGCTTACCAAGCATTGTGTCAAAGTAAGAGTGAATTGATTTGATTGATATGTGGGGTTTAACGTCTCAAAACCACCATATAATTGTGAGGGATGCCGTAGTGGAGGACTCCGGAAATTTCGACCACCTGGGGTTCTTTAACATGCACCCATATCTGAACACACCAGGCCTACACGCAGTAAGAGTGGAGTTTTTAGGATTGCGAAAACTGTGCTCTAGTAATATGAGAAAAATCGCTCTGCTCTTTGGTGCCCCTTGGAAGAAAGCTAAATGGATAGACGAGGTCGTTTTGTGTAACATGTGAGCACACGGAAAGGATTCATAACGAAGACGAGAAAACACTCACGAGTTTCAGCAAGGGCATGCTCAGCTGCAAGGCCTTGAAGGAGGCAGTGGTGTCGGACCAGTGCAGAGCGTTGAACACCGCCATCACAACGGGTGAGCAAAGTTCCTGCGAGTCGGAACAGAGACGAAGAAAAAGGAAATTAAAAAACGACGACACAGCCGACTAGGCTCGTTTCGTGACAACTTATTTCCATCTCTTCTTTTTTCCTTTACTTCTGGAGGTGAGCTAAATGCCTGATGAGAGCAACAAATGCTCACATTCTTCATCCTTTCGCATTTCTAAACCAGCGTTTGGTGCTGTTGTGACTGGGGGAATTTGTCGGGCCTCGAGCCATCCAAGGGTCAGGGCGAAGACGGGCCGAGGAGCCGGAGCTGATAACTTGAACGATTTATTTACACTATTTTACATGATGTTGAAGGTAGCGTGTTACATGGAGTAAGCATCATACTAGATGATGGAAGGAAGCTCCCTCCCCGAGCGTCCTGCGCTCGCGTTTTTATGCCCCCGAAGAGAGAAAGTCACACCGCCTCCTTCCCAACCTGGGAAGGGAGGAGAGGCCCGCCCAGTTCGCTGCCCGGCGAGGGTGTAACACACACAATACACGACACCACTGGCACAGTGCGAGAACGGGGAGTCGGACGCGCCGAGATGACTCTTCGAGGAAACATCGCTCGGGAAAGGCGCCATGGAACGTGAGGAATGTCCCCGAAGATGAATACAAAGCGCTCGGCTCATTGTCCGCTGAATGTTGACGACCCAAGCAATGACCACTCCTTCTAGGCAGCCCAGACAGCGAACAGCCCCCCCCCCCCCGGTAATCTGTCGGTCGTGCGTGCCCAAAGGGCTTTTTGGCAAGACGAGCCGACGACTCCAAGGAATTCGCAGTACTACTGCTGTGTTGTTGCCGATTCTGGACGTCTCAGGACGCGCTGCGAAGCCGGAACCATTCCACGCGTCCAAGCGGCGCCCAGACATGGGGGCCGATCACAACAGTGCCTAGGGACAAAACGCAAACGTAGCTCATGACGACGTGAGCCATGACAAATTGTTCATGCTGCTGTAACTCCTAGACTTGACTCCTAGACTCCTTGACTTGAAGTTACTAAGTAGTGTTAAATGCCTTTATAAGAGCCATGATCTGGGAAGCCTATTCTTGTTTTCTTTTTTTTTTTTTTTTTATGAGATGTCCCTGATAAGCGGGGTACCGTAAATGCATTTTCTTATCATTGCCTGTTTAAATGTAAGCACACTGGTGTCTCCGATACCCATTTGTCTATTATATCAGTGCCTCTTATAAGGGGTTTCGGCTGCATATTATTTTTGCAAGAGAGCAGTTGCTAAGCTTACTGGCCTGGGAAGGCATTGTTGGAGAGACTATCTGTTTTTCATTTGTTCGTTTCTGAAATCTTGAAGCAAAGTTCGCACGGTCGAGACTTAACTGTGCTGGTGTTCAAAAGTGTCAGTTGTGACAAAAAAAGAAAAAGAAACCACAAACGGAGAACTACAACAGCATCAGCAACATCCAAAAACAGGAACAGAACAGTTTTCAGTACTTGCGCGGGAAAAACATCCAATACAGCAAAAATCTAACACAGGCATTTGTGCATGACAATCGCTAATCTAGCGCTAATCTAGTTTCTGTCTAGCCTTTTTACATTGAAGCCTGCTATATGCAGTACAACAGTACTGTCATAGTGCTTCCCACACTACGGAAAAAAAAATCTTAGTAACATTATCGCAAAAGCCATTCTATTTTTATCTGCACTGTTGGGATATATATTATAAAATTATGAAGTTAATAAGAAATTATGAAGGTGACTGAGTTCCACACTTGCCGCCATGGCAACAGGTGGCGCTAACTGACACTCCCACGTTGAAATGCCTCCGTAGCTTCAGTAGTAGAGCATCAGACGTGTTAGTCGAAGGTCACAGGTTGGAATTCTGCTGGAAGCAAGTTGTCTTTTCATCCACTTTTTTTTTTCTTCACATTAACATTACAATTACTCCTAATAACACTGCCTCTACTTTCCCTAGAATTATTGTCTTGTAGTTTTATTAGTCTTACGTAAACGTGCTTCTTGATTGGCAAATCATCTCACGGCGAGTGATTGTTGTCATGATGACAATCATGGACAGCACTTAAAGCTGCGCCAATATGAGCCGCTACTGAATGGACATGTACTACTACGAAAGAAGCCGCACCTCAGTCTTAAGAACAGTGGCTCCAAATGCAGAGATTGTTGCCGCGCTCGAGTCCACCTGCTTCCCTTCCTGGTCTTCATTCATGCTGTCGAGGCTGGCGTCCGGCTGGCCTCGCTTGTTCAGCAGGATGGCCGCTGCGGAGGTCGAGATTTTGACTTACACACACAATAAGTGTTTAATGCTTAAATTGCAAGAAAAAAATTATTCCACTACTTCTCATAAAATATTAACCTTGTTCAATCAGTAAGTGTCTGCTGGTTAGCTGCAGATCAGCACGTCATTAACAAAGTTTGCCCACCCTTTATCAAACGTACGTGAGAAGAACTTACACAAAACTGTCAACTGTGCAGCCAGCTGGCTAGCCATTGGCCAAGGCTTTTCAAATTTGGCTGTTTGCTAACTGATCGCCAAACTAATACTAAGGGTCAATATTTAATCTTAACAAACAAGCCTTGTAATATTCAAAGCTGGCAAGCCTCGAGTGTTCACTGATTGGTCATCGATCTGTGCCTCATACTAGTCCACCGCTTCAGTCTAATCAAATAGTGTAAGCAAGTACTGAAGCAGCATTTGAAATACCATGCCCCGTCACATATACTTTTTCTTCTATCTTTTCATTAAATTTTGTGCAGCATCATACTTGCTTAGCATGAATCTTCTAGACCGCAACTAGCCAGCTTTTACTGCATGTAGATGTGCAACTGATTACAACTAAAGTGACCGGTGTAATCTAACAGATTGCACATTGTGCACAAGAGACGGACTACACTCACCTAAAAGGTCAAGGTACTTCTCGTGATAGAAGACGGTTCAACTGGTCATCAAGCAGTTCCTGTTCCTCGGTCATTTCCGTCTCATAGTCGACACTGATGCATAGACAGAAAAAGAATGCAGATTAAAAAACAAAGAAGAGCATGTGCTTTCCGAAATCTAGAAAAAACACATCCAAGCTTTACGAAAAGATTAGAGTTTGCGCCTGAATTCACGTATGTTTCCTTATGATCGGTTTGTCCGCTTGTTCATTGGCGGTGATTGTCATTAGCTTACTACATGTCGCAAACCATATTATACATTCTTCAATATAGTACTTGGAAATTTATAAGCCAGCCATAACTTATCTACCTTCATACACAACAGTGTTTCCCACAAAGAGTCAACGCTACGAGGTGACTGATCAACAAATGTTTTAAAAGACAAAAATTTTCATAAAGGATGTAACAATCACAAGTTCCGTAGTACACATGTTTTTTCTAGCTGCATCCCTGTTCAATACCATTATAGCTTTCCTTCGTGGACACTTCAACACCAAATAAAACAACCAATTTTTTTTATTTCTACATATTCCAAGAAAGGAGGTTGCAAAAACCTACACACTCACTGAAATTGTCTCCAAATCACCAGATAGTTCAGCATCTAACAAAGAATAATAGGGTCACCTAGCAAACATTATTAAAATAAGCACTACCATAAAGCTGCTTTCCGCCCCTGCCGCGGTGTTCTAGTGACTAAGGTACCCGGCTGCTGACCCGCAGGTCGCGGTATCAAATCCTGGCTGCGGCGGCTGCATTTTCGATGAAGGCGAAAATGCTGTAGGCCCGTGTGCTCAGATTTGGGCGCATGTTAAAGAACTCCAAGGGGTCGAACTAATTTCCGGAGCCCTCCACTACAGTGTCTCTCACAATCATATGGTGGTTTTGGGACGTTAAATCCCACATATCAAAGCTGCTTTCCATCTGAAGATGTCTCAAAGTTCATCATTTACCTGAAGCGTGTTCAGTGAGATAAAACACTTTTTATATGGACAAGCTCCATTGCATTCAAGTGTTTTGAAAAGCACATTTACAGTGTTCATAGCTAAATCAGTGCTAAAACAACAAATTGACCAGGTAAAATAAAATGGGTGAAGTTCTCACCAGTTGGCATATTTGAGCCTGAATTTCTCCCACTTGGCATTCAGTTTCTGCAAGACAGCCAAAGCAAAAGACAAAGCCGTTTAATCTAGTACAATGTGAACGACTACTTAAAAGAAGCGGTCTTTCGCTATTTCACTGCAAACAATGTAAAAATGGCATTAAGAATATATATCACACATACGCATGACTCTTAAGCAAGCTGTAGTACTGCTGTGCATGCCCAGCCTGTAATGGCATTGCGTACATAACAACGTGAACCTCGCATAGTGCACTCGAGCCGAAGTTTCATGCGTGCACTCCACACGAAACTTGGCGTTCTTATGTATGCAGCACCATTACAAATGCTGCGCACGAAACACTAGAGCTTGCTAAATCCATCCTTCTTTCTTTTTTTTTTTTTTTTTTTCAGTGTTAGCAATGGTATGTCTTGGCACCAGTAAGTTTGGCTTACCATCATTTCAAAGTAGATATTGTTGCTGTTTTTCCTAAGTGTTCAGTAGACTCAAACCTCGATATAACAGACCCAGATATGAAGAAATATCAGTTACAACGGAGTAAATCAAGAATAGTGTTCCAACAAATATGTTGTTAAGAAAATGAACCTTTATAACGTATTTTTTGTTACAATGAACTTATTTTCGTGTAAGATGCAACTTTGTTATAATGTGGCTTGAGTGTATACATATTTAAAAAAAAACTGCAGATTACCTCGGGTAAATTTCACCCAACACCTAAACAGGTGAGCTGGCACTTACCGTGAAACATAAAGGGAAGCACGGGCTTGAGCAGTGGCAACACGACCGTGGCCTGCAGCTCGGCTGGACAGCGCTGCACGAAGGGCCTCAGAAAGACGCGTGCGTCGGCGGTTAAGGAAGGAACGTCTGCCAATCGAGGTAGTTTGGGATTCTTGGTACGCCATTGTAAGCAAGGGTTTCGAACAGTAGTGCAAATGAGTGAGAAGATATTGAGAAAGACAGAGCACAAGCTTCCAACCGTCGCTGTTCGTAATAACAGCAATCAGTACACACTGTAACGATGGCGTATGACATGACGACTAAATGCTGTCTTTCTCGTGCTGTTTTTACCCTTTCATTCTCGCTTACTAGAGTTACTAAAGAAATCCGCAGATGAAGACATCCACATTCAGGGTAGTCTTGGAGGTTATTTCACCTCTAACACATAGCACATCTTCCGAGTGTTTTCTGTACCGTTGTGCTCTACCGAGAGCACCGTTTTTAGTGTTTCTGTGATTATTCGATACATGACCACCACTTTACAACTGCTCCTTTAGGTCTGCACGGTAGTCTAGATTGCTGCGTGCCAAGATATGACAGTGATATCGCTGAGCTTCGACAGATAGTACTAGCAACATGGCTGACATCACAATATGAAGAATTATTCGGCAGAATTAAGTTTTCGTGCTGGTATTACATGAAAATCGAAGCACCAATTGCATTCAGCTTGAATCACAAGGTACAAGGGTCAACTAGCATAAGCGTAAGGCCTATACCAAAGGTCGTAGAGCACGATGATGTAGTCATGCGAGTGAGGATATGCAGGAAAAAAAAAAAGAATAAGAAAAAAAGGAGGAGCAATATGAGCACTAACTTTTGACTGATTTACACTAAAACCTTGATATAACGAACTCGGGTATAATGAAATATTAGCTATAACAAAATAAATAAAGTCTCACTATAGACATAGTGTTAGAACTACCCCTTTATAACAAATTTTTTGATATAACGAACTTAATTTAATCTAAGATGCAACTCAGGTATATAATGAGCTTTGAGTGCATTGCAATGCGGTGCTGTGGCGCAGCATGTGCCGAAGGTGCTGGGATGCATGAAGGTATGTTGCTGGGCTATTTTCACAGGAACATAGCTGATATATCGCCCTAACAAACTATAGTACCATGCCGCGATGAATCATTCGAAACCTACGGCTCACCTTATTCCTCTTCCCTGCCCTTTTTTCGTCGTTTCGAGCTAAGCAGCCACAGTTTGTTTTGATCAACACAATTAAGAGGCGACTAGCCCAACTGCTAGTACTTCTAAGGATATGCAGGATCGGTCGTAGCCTGAAGTCTGGGAGCTGCTCAAGGCCCATCAACACTCCGTTGACGAGCATGTCAGACAGACCTGGCGTCTGGTAGTATTCGGGGCCCAGCGACTGTCCCGCGTTGCCAAGAATCTGCAAGCTGCGAGGTTCACACGCAAAAAATGGCGCGATAAGGGAAATAAAACAGGGAACTTTGACTTGCCGTGGGAATGCCAGTTTCCAGAGTGCACTGTAAGTTTCATGCGCGCAGTTTCAATTTAAACCTCTCAATGTTGCAATGCAAAGCACTTACTGAATGAAATTGGACAACTTAGGGCTAAGTAATGCAGGTACTTTCGTTTTCACTATCTTCAGTGAAGGCCTTATCGGTGAAACTTCACCTCGAATGCGTAGATCAGAGCAACATTATCTTATGAGACCAAATTCATAGCAACATGACACAGTTATCGCGAACAATTGCACACATCAGTTGTTAGACTGAAGAATTCGACGTCCATTTTAATCTGTGAATAATGTACGTGTGATAGTTATATCTCTAAGTAAATAACTGCCATGCTCTTTATGAATGCCTGGTTAACACATCCTCGACAAAAATGTGACTCAATCTTCAGAGTTTTTTCAATACTAGTATATGTAGGTCAAAAAGAATTGTTGAACAAGGAATCTCATTGATAAAGAATAATTGCAATGGAAAACATCATTAATACTACGTGATGTAGTATCAATGCCGTTCCTATGGTTGCCAATGTGATCTGTGAGAGTAGTCTTCTCTCTAGCTTTATTCGCACTGTCAGCTATGCATGAAACGCGGTACAGAATTGGAGTAAAAGAATTCTCAAGTAACAAGACCCTTGGAATACAGTTCCTTCAGCAAGAACAGACGTGGCGGCTGTAGGAACTAGCTGTGCCGTGTCAGCTCGCCCATCAAAAAGCGTTACACTAAAACCAGTGTGCGTGCGATGCCTCCGTTTCCCGTAAAAGCGCCACCATACCAATAGTCCTGAAAGGTGCACATGAAGCTCTTTGCACGGTCAATGGGCTGCTTTGATCCTAAGTTGTCCGACGCCTCTCCGTCGGCTCGAACACCTGAAAACACATGGCAACAGCGCAACACAGCATTCAGCGCAGGAAACCTCTTCCCGCTTTAGAGGTCTGCCACAAGAAACAAACTGATTTGAGGTTGCTAAAGTACTTATGCAGCCCCGTTTCAATATCGTTTGCGTGTTATTTTTGATACCACTTGTACAATCTATTTCGAAGCTTCAGTTTAATGAAAAGCTGATGAGGTTGCGCCTCGACCACAATCAGAGCAGGCCAATAAGAGTGCTTTCTAATCTCCTGCCGTGTCAAGCAGTGTAGAGTTTAGCACAAGGGTCTCAACTACACAGTTCACAAAGCTCCCTTTAGCAGCAGTGGCCACAGATGACTGCTTTCGATCCATATTTTCTTCTCTCTCTCTTTTTTTTTTTCATAATAAGCATGCTCTTAGGTCTGAAGTGTAAAGCATCCCGTGAAGTGATCATGTGTTGAAACATGACCACAGAACAAAAACTCTTGAAATTTCTGAAAAACAGCTATACTTTGATGATTTTGTGGATTACGTATCGATTCGAAGCCTGACATCAAATCCCTTTCAAAAATTACCCATATATACAGTGATATGAGATAGGCCCTTTCTAAAATGGCAACACTGAACTGACATTTTGTTCAACACCCAACCCATCCCCTTTCTCCAGTGCTTCGACCTTTAAAAAAAAAAACCATTTCTGGTGCAACTCGCTAGCTCAGGCGAGCTTAAGACCCCTGGTATAGCGTATTACACAGTGAGAACTGAGGCAACCACACTGAGAGGTAGTGCAGCTTCAAGAAGTTACAATTTGAGTATGTTGTACTGGAAAAACGAACACTCCTTCTCTTTCGTTATGCTGAAAAAATGCCACGACCAGTGACACCACTATACCTATGCGGTAATTAACGTGCGTACAAACTCAATGAGCAGCTTCACTTAAACCACTTCGTGGATTATGCAATTGCGACACTTGGATTTTGTATTTGTAAGCACGCTTAGTGGTTTGAACCCAAAGTAGACGAAATACACTCATAGTTCAATATAACAAACCCGGATATAGCGAAATGTTAGTTATAACAAAGTAAATGAAAAATAATCTTGCAATAAATATAGTGTCAGCAATAAACCCTTACAACAAATGTTTGAATATAACGAGCTTATTTTCGTGTAAGATGCAACTTTGTTATAGTGAACTTGGAGTGTACTCCAAATTGCTGCAATCTGACACTTGAAAACTCACCAAGGATGCTATTCTTCTCACTGTCGTATATATCGAGGGCAGCTGCAAACGCTGGATGTACCCTGGCACGCATCTCCGGGCTCCAAAAGTGGTTGTAAGTCCTGAAAATTTTGAGATCGTCTTGTATACTTGGGTTTTTTTCTCGCTGTTATTTTTTTTCTGACCTGCTGCACTGTTTGTTAATTTGTACGTTTGTTTACTGTGTAAGATACTAATACGCATATTTAAGGGATTGTACTGCATTGTATGCCCCTCTCAGCTTATGCCTCTTTCGAGGCCTGTGACGTATTATTACATTAAAAAAAAATGAGATGCAATAAGCACTGACAATGGTTCGATTGCGACAGATTACACTGATGGTGTAGTTATTGATTAATTTAGTGTAGTGCTAGCGAGGTAAACAACCACAAAGAGAATAAATGACAACAAAATTATTACGCTTCCACTGGCATTGAGATTTCATTGTATGAAAAGCCAACAAGTTGCTAGTTTACATGATGCAAAGATTTCACGATGTGCCGTAACGGCTCTTTTTATTGTTTTGCAACCTTCATATGTGTATATTATAGTATGCAAAAGCACTTAGCAGAAGGAATGAATAAAAGAAAGGAGGTTACCCTGTTATTATTCGGCTGGCAACCATGTACTAAAAGATAATTGCGTTACTTTCTACAAATTATACCTCATTTTCTCCAGAAGTACGTACCCAAAATGAGACATTTGTGATTGGTGCATCTGAAATGAGACGATTGCGATTGTTCCATTGGGAGGAAGCTGAGTACGCAGAATGAGTCTCCCAACTGCCTCAGAGATGCTTGATTGATTGATTGATTGATACGTGGGGTTTAATGTCCCAAAACCACCATATGATTATGAGAGATGCAGTATTAGAGGGCTCCGGAAATTTAGATTACCAGGGTTTCTTCAAAGTGCGTCCAAATCTGAGCACACGGGCCTACAGCCTCAGAGATGCGACGATGTGCTTTGTCACATTCGCGGTGTTGTGCATTTGTCTTTGCGCATATATTGTTTTCAGCAGAGCTTTGTTTGCCACCTGAATGAAGTGTCCTCCATGTGTGTGCATGAGTGATTTTCTTTTGCCTTTATTATACGAACTCTCTTTCCATCCTCTTCTTGACCTCCCTTTCCCCAAATCTCAGCAGGGTAGCAAACTGGTCATATTACTACAACGTCAGCCTCACTGACTTTTCGTTTTCGTCTAGTCCTCTCTCTCTTTCTCTCTCCTGCTTATCGTCCCTAATGCTAGCTCGTCTGACAAACGAGCACACAGGATTACAGTGTGCCAATCGGGAGGCAGCGGAAGATGGAGAAGGAAGCGGAAATCGGGAGACAAAAAAATCATGAAGAACTTGCCTCAGCAATTGTGAAATGATGGGGAGCAGGGACACCGCATAAGGCGTTGCCGGGTTCCGACAGTATGCAGAATGGTAAGCCTGACTGCCCTCGCAGTAGAAGCCCCCTTTCTTGGCCACCTACAGAGAGATGAACGACAGAGCTTTGCATACGCGGCGGGCTTTTGCAGATGTCTAGGCTCGTGCAAATACTCGAATGCTTCGAGGATGAAAACCTATACTATTGCTGTAGTCGAGCTTGCTAAGAATTGAGCTTCGATTTTTGAAAATTTCAAAGCATTCAAAATAAATAGGTGTGCATGAGTCCGCATGTAACCCTCTGTAAAGATTGTTTCACTGTAGCAAAGGAGTGCTAAGCCGTGAGAGCACTTGTCCAGGCATATATCAGGGAGCATGTGACACATTGTAAAAATGGTTTATCTGCAGTGGAGAAGTGCTAAGCCATAAAAACACCCATTAAAAAAATACATAAAGAATCCAAATTGCTGCAATGCACCAACTTACTGTTAAATGAATATATTACCCTCACATTGATTCACCATTTTTAAAGTTTAAAATCTTGTTATACCAGGTAAATACGTATAGCAAAATTTAAAACACAACAAAGTTTACAGGTTGTCACTTGCATTCTAGGGAAAGTCAAATCCTGCTACCATTCGAAGCTGTTATCACTTACGTTAAACCAAAAAGAATGGCGTTTCCAGAGGCCTTGTTTCAATATTAAAAAATATTGTGCAGGTCAATTAGGTCATGACAAGTATGCCCATTTTTCTTCATAATATGGGATATATATACTATCCAAATTATTTGACCAATATCCCTATTTGCTTCGAACCTACACTTCACTATTCACACAAGCCTACAAAGATCTTAAGCAGGAGTGCTTACCTCAATGTCGTCAGGCCACTTGCATCGCTTGATGAAAGCCATGAAGATGTTGACGCTGTGTAGAAGCTGAAAGGCATCGTCGCGATGATCACACGCGGAGGTTCAAGACACAGCACAAGGGAGACAAACGAGAAATGCATTCATCAGGGGCAAGTTTTAAGAGCTATATATCACTGACGCGGGATGTGAATCGGGAAATACTACGCTACAATATCTTGTTCTGCATCCTGCCTTGGCATTGTTTTCTCGTCATGTACCAGCTAGCTTAGTCAGTTTAATAATGCCGAACGTTTACATTTCCTTACTCTTACAGGACCTCAGATAACACCTAGGCAAAGGTTTCTCATAAACACTGGGCAGAATAAAAAAAAACACACTCAAACCTCGATAGAACAAATAATGATATAATGAGTCATCAGTTGTAATGAAGTAAAGAATAGCTTTATCATAGATACAGTGTAACAAATATTTGTTTATAATGAATTTTTATAATGAATTTTTTGACAAAACAAGGTATTTTCATGGTCTATGTGACTTTGTTATAATAAGGTTCGAGTGCACGTAGATGAAGAGAAAAGTAAATAAACGAAACAAGACGCTACGAGAACAAAAACACATATGCGTTACAAGAATGAGGAACCAATTTAGCAGGCTTAAGATTTCTAAAAGCAGTAAACAAAGAAATTGGCACACAAACTGAAAAAAAAAATGAACATGAAAGTGGACTGCAACAAATACACAGCACATACAAAACATACATTCCAGAGATGTCAATAAACCGCATGACACTGCCATTCAACAAAAACAAAAGAAAAAGAAAGCAATAGAAACTCGATGGAAAGTTAACATTCATGTGGTATGTATGAATGACTGAAGTATGACGAGAGCCTGCAGCGCATCCTAACGCATTAGATTGTCGCGTCCACATAGTTAGTTCCTGAAAAAGGGCAATAACCTCTTTTCTTTCTTTTAAACAGAAATTGACTTATCCTAATTGACAAGTTGTTTCTTCCTGCACTACTTTCCTTGCGGTATCAATGCGTTCTCGACGTCCATGAATACAAAGAACCCACCTGGGAGCGGTTGTATCCACTGCTGTCATCTGCCGTGGCCTCCACTGGCGCTTCGGTGAGACCGATGAATGACAGGAATGCTTCGGGTGATGATGCGATCCTGCATAGAAAGACGCTCGTGAGCCAATTCAGAAAACTGAACTTGTAGCGATTCACGCGGGTCTTCGCCATCAGTGTTCCTGCCTCGGATAGCGTGCAGTCCACCAAACGCTGAACTACAAAACAAGCTACAACAAGAATCACCGCTTGTGCGTCCCGTTACAAAAGCTGTTTGAATGTTCCTGTGTGGCAATGGTATCAGACATCGATATAACGAACCCGCATAATGAAATATTGCTTATAACAAAGTAAATGAAGAATAGTCTAGCAATAAATATAATGTTAAAATATATACAGTAGAGTCCTTTTAAACAAAACCTGGAGGGACGAAGGAAAATGTGTTTCCTTTAAGAGGAGTTTCGTTTACTAAGAGATGAACAGGGGAACAATAATCAAGTACAAAACCAAACATATCAGGGGCAGTTGTTCCATTTAAGCAGCAATTTCATTTAGGAGAGTTTTGATTATTGGGAGTCTACGATGGCTTTATTACAAATTTTTGGATATAACGAACCTAATTTTGTGAAACATACAACTTAAGGAAAGAAGTATATACTTGAGGGCTCGTTTTTTCCTTGTTAGTCCCAATAATAATGTGATCTAACAGACAATCATGCCAAAAAAAGTATAAAGGATGTTATATGAGGTGATCGCAATGTAAATTTGAAGAAAGAAAAGTGGATGAAAAGATAACTTGCCATGGGCAGGAACTGAACCTACGACCTCCCAGCTCGTAGTACGATCATGTGCCGCCAAACCAGGCAGAAAAAGTATTCCACACTCGCTGCTATGGCTACAGGTGGCGTTCACTGACGCTCCCAAGTTCAATTCACACATGTACCCAACAAAATGGATGGGGGGATAACCGCCGTGGTAGTTCAGTTGGTAGAGCATCTGACCCGTTATTCAAAGGTCCCGGCTGACGGCAAGACATCTTTGCATCCACTTTTCTTTCTACAAATTTGCAAATACCTCGTATAACATCACCTATACTCTCCTTGGCATGATTGTCAGTTAGATCTCATTAAACTGTGTCTAACTTCTTTGAAAGGAGGTTTGAGTGTAGATACTGTCTTTGACTATTGAAGCACAAGCACCCTAGAGCCCGTCGTACACTTTTGACATTTTGTACATTGTCGCTCTCATCTCGAGCAGCATGCTATCACACAGGCAAGATAAAAAAAGCCGACCTCCCTCGTAATCAACACCAGCTTTATGAACCTATCGGGACTAGTAGACGTATGAGTGTATCTTGACATTATAGCAGGACATATATCTTGATATTATCGGTACACTGATATTATCGGTATGCTGTACTGGCTGACGCTCTACATTTCGAGTTCTACTCAAGTTAGGATAGTCCACTCGGTGTTCGAAGGTGAACTAAAGCTAGAAGCGAGAAGAAGGCACCTTTTAGTGCCCCAGTCAGCCAACGAAATCCACTGGCTTATAGCACGTCAAAGCTAAGGGGAGAAGATAACATAGACATGATGCAATGCCAAAGTGTTGCAAAACGATACTTACACTTTCACTTCATTTCTTGCCAACATGCCTGTGGCAGGAGAAACGACCTCGACGACGAACTTGCACTGACGATCGTAATTGTTGAATTCGTTGCTGAAAAAACAAAAAAAACGCAAAAGCGTGCAGTTCCAATAGTGATGTCAACAGAAGAATCAGAGGAGCCACACACTGTAAAATCCTAAGCAAGAGCCCCCCCCCCCCCCTCTCACCGTTTTCACTGTTTTATCGTGTCTTTACTCAGCCAACAAGGGCAAATCAAAACAGTGAATGCATGCGCATTTAACAAAGCATTTACTTAGGAGCATGGCTGTCCATTCTTCATTTTTAGCATCTTTTCTGCTGTCATCTTGAATTTTTATCTATGAAGGAGCAAAGACCACCTCCCCTCCAAATCTTGTTCAATTATTCTTCGACATAGGTGGGAAGGGGGGGGGGGGGGCACTTGTTTTGGATCTTACGGTATATATATCTCAGGGACCAACAGCCAAAATTTTATTTGGAGCGACTTCCGAGGCAGCAAAAGTGCTGCCTCTAGAGCACGAAATTGCAAATTTGGAGCAGGTTATAAAAAAAAGACTATATCTTCTCGCATAATATTCTAAATTAAGAGCACAATAACAACTGAAGGCTTACTTATAGAAAACAAAACAAAACAAAAATATGTACAAACCATTTAACACAAGCCACCTCGTTCACAATGCAAGTGGGCACTGCCATTTCGATAAAAGCAGTGCGCTGAGCGACCTAACCACTGCAAACAACGAAACATCATACACAGTCCTAAGTGATTGCCAGTAATTTTTTATGTCAGCGATCATAGTAGTACTTGTGATTACACGGCATGTGCACGCGAGTAATTAAGGGCACAAAACGCGCTGTGTCCCCTGATTACAAATCTCAGTGCCTTTCTTCTCAATGAACCAGTGTACAGCGGTGAAAATGGCGTAACAACAGAACAAGGCCAGAAAATTGTATAACTGCTTCTCCTTCACTGTAGAGCTAGAGTTAAGGTTTGCACGTCTGAAATTAATTAGACCAGGGGTTCTCGAAGTGGGCTTCATGGGAACTAAGGGTTTCGCAGGCTCCTCCTTGGGGTTCCACAAGCCACTGATAAATTTTCCCTAGTTTTACACTCGCCCACTCAACTCATTTAGATGGCGATCCCGAGTTGTGATCCATCTAGGAAACCTCCCATTATTCACGCCCGAGCGTCAGCAAGCACATCTCGGTGCGTGACAGGAACCCGCGAGCTGCGCAATAAATTCTGCCAGCAGTTTGTAGCCAGCCACACTCCGAAAATGGAACGTGCGATGGCTTAAATACTGGGGGCCTCATATTATCACCATGCATATTTCAGGCATTTGAAGGTAGGTGCCGCTAGTGTACATAGAAAGTCAGACTATTTAAACAAGAAGCAAAAGAATCGCACAAGAACCCTGCCCTTTCCTGGGTGGAAGGAGGGTTCCTGGCCACCAACATGCTTCTGAACCCCTGAATTGGACGATGATGCCCAAAATGCAGACACAACTGAGAAATTAGCACAACTGGAAAACTTTGGAACTGGTTGGGCATTCTGGCACAGCAAATCTCAATTTTAACTAATTGCCCCGTGTTGGCTAAGCTCAGCGCAAAAATAATGGAATATTATAAAAGTGGTACAACTGGCCCAGCTGTAGCACTTCTGATATCTTCATCACAAAATCAACATTGAAATTTCATTACCAAAAGTGTGCAAGGAACTGTGAAAAACAAAACTAGAATCGGCTGCTAAATAACATTTTTATAGGCCAGATGCAATATACAATAACTAATAGAGTCAACACACAGACGCATTTGCAATGTACATGGCATCACCAGAACTGCCTGTAACGACAAGTTTGACTCATACAGATGCTTAAGAAGCCAACTATGGATTACCTCAAAATGAGCAAAGCTTCGATGAGAGTGCATGCTTCGAGTTGCGTGATCAGTTTGTCTTGCTCCTGTATCCTCTTCACCGAAGAGTAGATCTGGTCGAAACAGGACTGCGGAACGGAAGTGTCAGCAACAATACGGCTTAAAAAACCCGGATTACAATTTTAAAAACAAACAAAACAAGATGAGGACAAACAGAACAATCGAAATTCAACCATTTAAGGGCCACATTATTTAACTATAGTATCACTTGTTACTTAGCTATGTACAATTCACTACATCCATGTCACACTGTACTGCAACCATAATCAAACAAAACTATGCGTATGACACATTACACATAACTGAACGCAACACATTACAGAAAAACACAGCACCAAGGCTTCAGAGATATGTTTTCCCGTATTTGATAGGGCTAAACAGGTATTCCTGCCCTAAATCATCATTACTTTGCATCAAAACATACTCTATTGTCTGCACAGAATCATGCAGTGTTAAAAGACTACCATAAAATTTTCAGCAAATGATACCTGTGTGTGTTGCCAGGTTTACATGTTATTTATTCTCTTTTGAAATTCCCGAGAGTTGTCTTTCAGAATTATTTTTCATTCTTACTCGTTATTACTGATTACCTAGCAATTGTACAATACTTGGAAAAAGAGTGGTTTGCCATAATATTGCTACCTGTAGGCTGCCACAAACCATAGTGCGAATGCGCGTGTGCGCCCGACGAAGAAGAGGAGGCTCGCTGGCTGCTCGAGCTCGGAGCCAGACTGGCCAGTGCTGCAACCGCTCTTGCAAATATATTTTTCGAATATATCCGCAATACTTTGTCTCGTTACTCACGTAACATATTTGGTGGAGGTGGAACGATCCCCGTCCTCACCACGCAGCTCCGCAGTGGCCGCATCCTCCAGCTTCCCGCCATGGCTTCCAGTGACAACGCGTCCGCTTCATCATCTGCGGCTTCTCCGACAACCTTTGTCGCCGTCCAAACACCACGTGATCCCGGGACATTTTCTGCGCAACCTGGCCTCGACGTCGACAAATGGCTTCGCCTTTATGAACGGGTCAGTCAAACTCACCATTGGGACCCTACCATGATGCTCGCTAATGTTCTCTTCTACTTGGACGGAACCCCGCGTGTCTGGTACGAGACAAATGAGTCCGAACTCACCAGCTGGGACACGTTCAAGGAGAAGCTACGTGACATCTTTGGGGACCCGACCGGTCGCCACGCAGCTGCACGACAGGAGCTGGCTACCCGTGTCCAGTCGCCAACTGAATCGTATGTGTCATACATCCAAGAAGTTCTCGCTCTTTGCCGAAAAGTGGACGAGGCGATGTCTGAGGCTGAAAAGGTTGGACACGTTTTGAAGGGGATCGCGGACGACGCCTTCAATTTGCTGGTGTACACTAACGTCTCGACCATCGACCGTGTAATTCAAGAATGCCGCCGTTTCGAAACAGCAAAAAGCCGTCGGGTGCGCCCTCCTTTTTCTCGGTTGCCAACACGGCGGCTACGTCCACCTGCTCCGATTCTACCGTCACACCGCCCTTTGAGCAGAGTGTAACGCGTATCGTTCGACGGGAACTTGAAGCAGCAAGTCCAGCGCCGCTTCAGCCCACTTCTTTCGAACATACGATACCGACAACCCCCGCGATCTCCGTTATTCAGGCGGTCGTACGACAAGAATTCGCCAACCGCGGGTTCCCTGATGCTTGCCCCATCTCTTGCCCCTCCTCCAGACCAATTCCCATTAATGCACCTCGACGTGACCCATTTGTTGCTCCACGATCTCGCAACCCGGCGGAATGGCGAACTCCTGACGACAAACCGATCTGCTTCCGGTGCCACCGCGTTGGACATGTCTCCCGCTACTGCCGTGCCTCCTGGACGCCGCCACATAGGAGCCAGTTTTTCGCACCTTATAGCCCATATGAAGATCTTCGCCGGTATTCGTCCAGCCGTACCGCCCCTGCTTTCGACACGTCTAACAGCCGCCTTCCTGCTCGTTCTCCGTCCCCTCAACGCCGTCGTTCCCCGTCGCCCCAGCCACGCCGCCATCACTCGCCGCCTAACTTTTCATCGTACCCGACGGAAAACTAGACAGTGCAGCCCCTGGAGGTAGTGCTGCATCATCCCTGTCTGAACCAAACCCTCCATTGACGCTTCATACGAACAAAAATCTTGTCGATGTACACGTGGACGGTATTTCTCTGTCGGCACTAGTCGATACTGGCGCTCATGTATCCATAATCAGCGTTCATCTTTGTCGCCGCTTAAGAAAAGTACTCACGCCCCCTGCTACCGAAGCTGTACGTGTGGCCGATGGCGGCACTGTTCCTGTCATTGGCATGTGTACGGCTCGCATACGCATCGCCGACCGTTACATCCCTGTTCTATTCACGGTGCTCCAGAACTGTCCTCATGACCTCATCTTAGGGATGGACTTCCTGTCGACCCATTCTGCTCTGATCGACTGTTCCGCTGGTACTCTTTGCTTAGACCTTCCTCTTCAGCCGGATATTCACCCTGAACCTCAACACGGCCTTTCTGCCACAGACTTCCTCCGCTTACCGCCTAAAGCCCTCACATTCACCGAATTCGCCACGACCTCACCCGTATTGGATGGGAATTACATCGTCACGCCGATTCCTGATGTCCTACTGGCACGTGACGTAACCGTCCCTCACTGCATCGTAACTGTAGCCTCCAACCGGACCCGTCTACCCGTCATAAATTTCGGCTTCACAAAGCAAGTCCTCCCTGAAGGCATCCTAATTGCCACGTTGCGGTCCTTAGCCGATGATCACGTCACCACTTTCGCAGCCGACGCATGCCCCAATTTCCTTGTCGCCCACTCGATGCCACATGCCTCGACATGTCAATACGTCCCATGATCGACCCTGACCTTCCCCCAGCGCAATCAGCCGCTCTCGCACGCCTTCTAGCTTCCTACCGTGACATCTTCGACCTTGACGACCGCCCACTCGGCCAAACTTCTCTTGTAAAGCACCGCATCAACACCGGTGATGCTGCTCCCATTCACCGTCGACCGTATCGCGTGTCCGCGTCGGAGCGCCAGATTATTCAAGCTGAAGTGAATAAGATGTTAACTAAAGGCATTATTGAGCCCTCATCAAGCCCATGGGCGTCACCCGTCGTCCTGGTTAAAAAGAAGGACAACACATGGCGTTTTTGCATCGATTACCGGCATCTAAATCGAATCACCAAAAAGGACGTGTATCCTTTACCACGTATTGATGACGCCCTCGATTGTCTCCACGGCGCACGCTACTTTTCATCCATCGACCTTCGTTCTGGTTATTGGCAGATTGCCGTAGACGAGAAAGACCAAGAAAAGACCGCCTTCATCACTCCAGATGGCCTATACCAATTCAAGGTTATGCCCTTCGGCCTATGCAATGCCCCCGCCACGTTCGAACGTATGATGGACTCTCTGCTACACGGGTTCAAATGGTCAACATGCCTGTGTTACCTAGACGACGTCCTCGTATTTGCACCTACGTTTGAGACCCACCTTGAGCGTCTGTCGGCCATTCTCGACGTCTTCCGCAAGCTGGCCTCCAGTTGAACTCCTCGAAGTGTCACTTCGGCCGCCGACAGATTACCGTGCTGGGCCACCTTGTCGATGCTTCTGGTGTGAGACCGGACCCTGAGAAAATTCGTGCCGTCACGAATTTCCCAGTACCCCAATCCGCCAAAGATGTCCGGAGCTTTGTGGGACTTTGCTCCTACTTTAGGCGGTTCGTGAAAGATTTTGCGGCAATCGCCCAACCACTTACCGATCTTTTGAAGAAAGGCGTTCCATTTTCGTGGGGGTCCACTCAAGCTGCCGCCTTCTCTCACCTCATAACACTTTTGACGACGCCCCCTATCCTCGCCCACTTTGACCCATCTGCCCGAACTGAGGTCCGAACTGATGCCAGTGGTCACGGTATCGGAGCCGTTCTCGCCCAATGCCAACAGGGACACGACCGCGTTATCGCGTATGCTAGCCGCCTCCTTACACCTGCAGAGCGTAACTATTCGATCACAGAGCGAGAATGCCTTGCTCTTGTCTGGGCGGTCTCAAAATTCCGTCCATATTTATATGGCACTCACTTTTCCGTCGTCACCGACCACCACGCGCTCTGCTGGCTTTCATCCTTAAGAGATCCTACAGGTCGACTTGGTCGCTGGGCTCTGCGACTGCAAGAATACACCTTTTCTGTGATATACAAGTCTGGACGCCTGCACCAGGACGCCGATTGCCTTTCTCGCTATCCAGTTGACCCATCGGCCACCATACCTGACAACGACGCCTGCGTGTGCTCCGTTTCTCAACTGAACCACATAGCCGACGAGCAACGCCGTGATGCAGCCCTACGAGCTATCATTGAGCGCCTCGACTCCTCCCCATCGAACCGATCCTATCGCTCGTTCGTACTCCAGAATGGCACATTATACCGGCATAACTTCCATCCAGACGGCCCATCTCTGCTGCTTGCCATACCCAAACACCTCCGCTTGGCTGTACTCCACGAACTTCATGACGTTCCTACTGCCGGTCACCTGGGTGTGTCCCGCACATACGACCGGATTCGCCGTCGCTTCTATTGGCCAGGTCTGGCACGGTCCGTCAGAAGATACGTCGCGGCGTGTGAGGAATGTCAGCGCCGCAAAACACCATCGACGCTTCCGGCTGGGCGCCTTCAACCACTCGATATTTCTACTGAACCTTTCTTTCGCGTCGGCTTGGACTTACTCGGCCCTTTTCCTCTGTCTTCTGCTGGCAACAGGTGGATAGCTGTGGCCACAGACTACGCCACACGCTACGCAATCACACGCGCCCTTCCAACAAGTTGCGCCACTGACGTCGCCGATTTTCTTCTACACGACGTGATCTTGCAACATGGTGCTCCACGCCAGCTGCTCACGGACCGAGGCCGCACATTTCTATCGAAAGTCATAGCGGACATTCTACGCTCTTGTGCAACACGCCACAAGCTCACTACGTCGTACCATCCGCAAACAAATGGCCTCACAGAACGCCCTGAACCGAACCCTAACTGACATGCTTGCAAAGTACGTTTCCTCAGATCA